TATATATATATATATATATATATATATATACACACACACACACACACACACATTTATACATATATATGCATTTATATGTGAAACAAGAAATGGAAAATTATTTGTTGATGATAACATGTATGATTAAGCCACTATGCAGTGTATTCTGGATGGGAAAACACATTTTGTATGCTGTGATGAGGCTTAGGAAATGAATATGAATGAAGGTGAAATAAATTAATTTAAAAATTAACATTAAAAAATAAAGAGGGAACCAGCAGTTAACGTAATGGCTATGTCGCTGGACTCCCACGTAGTCGACCGCGGTTCGTGTCCCGGACCCGGTGGCTTAAAACTCACGCCGGGCGCATGTGCGTGCATGCCCAAGATCCCGAGAGGAGAATGGAGAAGGGATTGTGGCGTGACCATCCCCCCTGGGGAGTGATTTCTCGCTTTCTATCTCTATGTCTCTCTCTGTCTGTCTGGCGAGCGCACGCACCCTACAGTGAAAATCTCTCCAAAAAATAAATAAAAAAATAAAGAGATATATAGCAAAAAAACTTAATAAATTGAGCAAGATATGCATCTAAGAAATGTTTTGCAGATAATTTGATGTTGGACAAAATATGTAATTATTTCTCTGGCAAATTTGAATCATTAGTTTGAAAATAAAATATCAAGAAATGCCAGTTCTTCCTTAGAATTTGCTCACTTGTTTTCAAAAGAAAATTAAATATAACCATTTTGCTGTATTATATCTTTTAGAGCATAAAATTTATGTGTTGATGACCAATAAATCCAAAACATGGTGACTAGAATTGACTATGCACAATAGTTTACCTGATTTGTATAGTAGTTTAGTGTCAATTATATCTAAAGTTAATTATGAATAACGAGTATATGTTATCTTAAACTTTTCAGATTTAAACTATATTTTGGAACATAAGATTTGAGATATCATCAGCTTTTTGAGCAAGAATGTAGTCTGAATCCAGTTTTCAGTGATCAAAAACAAAGCAGTTATTTGAATGTATGAACTGAGAGATGGACAGAAGTCACCTTATACAGAAGTATATACTACATATTTTCCATTTTTAGTTTCTCAGAAGAGCTAAGTTTATTTGAGCTGTTCAGTTTTTGCACACCTCTATGACACCCTTACCTCTTTTCTCTCTTGACTTAACCAAAGTGTTAATCATGATTGTCACAACTATTACATTTTCACTGTCACAACTATTATGTACACACTCTATCATGAATAAATAAAACATTTTTTAAAAAGATTCCAAACAAGGACCAGCAGTTGACATAGTGGCTATGTCGCTGGATTCCCACGTAGTCGACCGCAGTTCGAGTCCTGGATCCAGTGGCTTAAACTCACGCCAGGTGCGTGTGCATGCGTGCCCACGATCCAGAGAAGAGAATGGAGGAGAAGGGATTGCAGCGTGGCCATCCCTCCCCCACCCCCCCGGGGAGGTGATTTCTCACTTTCTGTCTCTCTCTGTCTTTCTGGCAAGCGCATGCACCCTATAGCAAAAACTTCTCCCAAAATAAAAAAGAAAAAGGAAAAAGATTCCAAGCCAACAAGTAGCAATGAGTAATGATGAAAAATTTTTTTAATAAATAAATAAAAGGTAAGCTGATCACAAAGAGTTCTCCGGAAACCACTCTGGGTTGGGAATTGGAGATATGGGCTCATCATTCTGATTTTTTTCTCCTTACAGCTACATAACCATGGGCATTTCCTCTCAGAAACTCAGGCTATACTTTTTGTAACAGGGATCATACAATCTACCTGAACTACCTTAAAAGGTAATGGGAATGAAGAATGAGAAACTAGTTGCACAAAAGCTTTGTTAACAAAGCGTGTACAGATTCAAAGGCATGGTCCTTAGGATACAGTTAGGGTTGGGATAGGGCAGGACTATAGACTAGAAAAAAAGTGGAAGGAAGCTGGAGATTAGAGGCCTTTTAAAAATGTATAGAAAACCTAGATAAGAGAGGTAAAAGGAAGATCCTTTACCCAGACGAACAAAAAATTAGGCAGGAAATGAAGAAATAGCAGACTGCCACTACAGAAATGTCAGAGCTAGAGAGGACGATGTGGTTGCCATTGACAGAGGAGAGAGCTGATGCCTGACTCTTTCCAAGATATGACCAGGAGGAGAACAAGCTTGTAGGGAAGTTTAGCATCTTGGAAAATAGCTTGTCCCCCAAGGATTCATGAGTTGGAATTTGGTCCCCAATATAATGGCATCAGAAGATGGTGCAACCTTTAAGGAGTGAGGCCTAGTGGGAGGGAATCCTCATTCCTACAAGAAGAGGTAAACTCTTGTTCAGCAGCTCTTATGTGTCTCCCTATCCCAACCCCAACCTGCATGTCTGCTGACCTTTCTACTTTGCTCAGTCATGTTGTGATGCAGCAGAGTGGCCAGATGCCAACCCCAGGCCCTTGAGCCTTCCAGTCACCATAATCATAAGCCAAATAAACCTCTATCTTTATAAATCATCCAGTCTCAAGTCTCTGTTTAGCAACACAATAATAGATTCCAACACATCTCCATGAGAGATGGCTAGAAGAAGAGGGTCTGCTACAGAGACTGAGATGGAAGCCATTGCAGTAGAAGCACTATCCAAACCCCATGTCATGGAAGTTAAAGGAGAAGAGAGTTCCAAGACAGTGGATCTTCAAAGAAGTGCAAGAAGAGTGAGAAGGCAGCAGAGTGTTGAGACAAAGTAGCAGAGAGCTCTCAGAGAAGGGTCAACTAAAATGACCATTACCTTTCTTGGTGCCAAAGAAGGCAAAGCCCAGGGAGATGTTGTTGTAGCCTTGGGTATGTGCACCTTGGATATTCCAGCCAACACCTTCATACACACCACCATCATCCCCAACCAGGAAGCTGTGGAGAAAGATAATACAGGGTAAATAGCTAGCCCCGTAGCACATCCCTGATAGAGAAAACAGTTTACCCAGACTGGCAAAGGATTAGGGGCCCCACTACAGTGGTGCAGGTGGTAGGGTGCCATGGCATGATCATATGAGAGCCCCCAAGTTCAGATTCTTGGTTGTCCTGAACATGCCAGGCATGTCCATGAGTACACACAGGATTCTGGCTGACTTGAAGGCTTGGAGTGGGGTCAGAGGTATTACAGCATTACGAGGCCTTGTCAGAGATATCTCTCTCTCTATCTCTCTATCTCTATCTATCTCTCTGGAAATAAACTTTTATTAAAAGGGGGAGGGAGGGCATGAACTATGTATATTAAAAGGAATTTGTACAGATCCTTCCCAAGAACATGGATGCCATAGAGGAACATGTTAGGGGCAAAGAGTTGACTTTGAGCTAGTTTAGCCTCCACAACTCTGCAGCTGTGTGACTTTGAGAAAATCCAACAACCTCCCTCCTGTGGGTCCCCTCTCCTGTGGCCTGGAAATGGTGACACTTGCTTTAGCAACCTCATAGTTAGCAGAGAGCAGAGGCATGCATGCACAAGGAGATCATCTGTAGCCATGCCGTGCTCTGTCAGTCAGGTTTGGAGGTGGGTAGAAAACGCAGTTATTACCTAACTATCCCTCCTTTCTCTGGGAAGTTCCAGAGAAAAGAACCTAGTAGACCATTCCAAAGTATTTGGAATCTCATACGGATTTTAAATATTTCATTCATTATAAAACTGTACAACCATGACCCAGAAAGTGAGGAAAACAGATGAGAAGGAACAGGAGAAGCACTGTGGAGGGCAGCTCTGACCACATGCCTCGAGCCCAGGCCCAGCCACTTACTTGTAAGCCACGTCACACCGGCTGCTATTGTGGACATGATGAGCCTGCAGTTCCCGCAGCCTCTGACTACAGACAGTCTGGTTGTGACACTCCAGTCCAGGGATGTGGTGTATAACAAGGACATTCACTGGCGTGGCCAGCCGACTGCTACAGCCCACAGCGTCCACCCCCCACTCTTTGTGAGAGACCATCGTGGAGACATCTGCAAGGGAACCATGGGCCATCACTCAGTGCATCCAGGCCCGTGTTGCCACCTGAGCCAACAGGGCTGCACCTGCTGGTCCAGGCTGGGTCCTCTCCATGCCAGAGAAGGGCCCCAGAACGAGGCCTTCAGCAGACAGGTTCACCCTCACCTGCTCACCTCCGTATCCTCATCTCAGTGACATTCACCCCCAGGTCAGTTCATTCTGGGCCAGAGAGCCTAGATGCTTTGCTCCCACCCCAGTACATCCTCCACCACAGATGAACCCCATTTCCAGCTTCTTCATTTCTCTGCTGCAGGTCCCCCTTCAAGGAGCGTCTCCTTCTCCCCTGCTTATCCCTGGGGAAAGCCCTGAGCACCTTCTCAGTTTCACCTCATGTCCTTGGAGTGTGCTCACTGACAGTTTTCTCTGTGGCTCCAAGTGCTCTGAGGGGGTCGAAACTCCCCTTCAGCCTGGGGCCTCCCTGAGGGCAGCATTTAGGTCTCTATCCTCAGGATAGAGTATTCCTGACTGCAGAGGCTGTGTCTCCCTTTACTAGGTTTCTGTCCCCTCCTGGCACCATAATACCCCAAGGGCAGTCCATGCAGGAAGTTTACCAGTATCCTCTGTGCATATCAACCCAGTGGGCCACGCATGATGGTGCAGACCAGGGAAGTATCTCTGGTCACCTAAGAAATCCCAGCTGGTCTCCAAACCTCCTCACCATGAGAATGCAGTTTGTATTTTTCAATGAGCTTGGAAATGTTGCCAAACACATACTGGAGTCCCTCCGAAAGGTATTTATCTTGTGTTTTGTTAAAGGAGGAATTACCTGCAAAGGAACATTTCACTCTGCATCAGTCCTCAGAAAACTCCCAAACTAGTGTCACAGCTGCGCAGACTCCAGTCAGAAGAGACCATCCCCTTGCCACTGCCCCTCTACCTCCTCAAGCCTACAAGCCCCCTCCCAGAACCCTGTCTGGGCTGGCCAGAGGACCAGCTCTAAAAGCAGCAAGGGTATGATTTCCTCCAAAGCCAACTCCAGGTGACTCCCCCAGGATTATGGATAAATAGCTAAAAGCAGAGAATCAGAAACAGTACTTCTTCTCAGGAGCTACATCTACAATTTATACAAAATAACTCAGAAATAAATTCAGACACTTCAAAACCACAAATTCCTCTTCTGAGTGAATTTTACCAAATGGGAGCAATGGGGGAAAGAATGGGGAGATGGGATCAGGCCAGTCCCTCAGGATCAGTTCTGGGAGCATTTACTATGCCAGCCCCTCAGGCTCCGTTCTGGGGACATTTACTATCCCCACGCTCCTGTGGGAAGGACCATGAGGGACGGCGTGGTGTGTCTGCTGACATCCTCACACCCAAAGAACTTCCTCTTAGGAACAAGCATAAATCCACATCATAGTTAGACTCTGCTGGACATAATAATAATAATAATAACAATATCACCATTGTTTCCATTGATTGCCTTTTATTGCCTACGCACTATGTCTTCCACATGCACTATCTCATTCAATACTCATGATAAGTTTACAAGGTCATAACCTTACTCAATCTTTAAGTGAGAAAATTAAAGTGTAATGAGCTGAATGTTCAAAATTACTGCTAGAGGCAGGGCAAGGACTTGAACCCAGGACTATAGACTCCAAGTTCTATGCTCTAAGAACAAAGCTATTCTTTCTACCCAAGCATTTAGAATTTCTGTTTCGAGACTTTAGGATAACCCTTCTCAGTTGCTGTTTGGTCCAAGGGAAGAAAACTTACCCCAGACCTGGAGACCCAGAGTGGAGAAGACAAGAAGCCATGGTAGCATCCTCATGTGGTTCTAGGACACCAGCAGGGAGTGTGGACACACCCTGAAAGGACGGTGGCCCTGGGAGAGGCCTTGACAGTTAACTGCAAATGGAGCACCCCATGTCCCCATCATCCCACATGGCCCCTGCCAACCTCCCCACCGTCCTGTGGGCCTCCTAAGAGTAGTATCTGGCTCAGGTCCATGAGGGTCCTGAATACTCCCATCTTATCACCCTGGCAACTCAATTTTATTGAGTGCCTACTATATGCAAGACCTGTGTAGACACTTGCTCATGCGGTCTTATTTCATTTTAACTCTAATGTTGTAATATAGAGTTGTCAGCTCCCATTTGCTTAGATGAGGGAAGTTAAGGTCCAAGAATAGTACAACCAAGAAATCCAAACTCCCATAGGTAGTCTAATACAGAGAATTCCTTCCCAGGTGGGGATAGGGCAAGGTGAGGAAATTACAGAAGTAGGGTGGGGGTATCCTAGTTCTTGGACAGAGAAAATTTTATCTTAATATTTCTTCTGGTAGAGTTCAGCCCCTTTGATGAGAATGGGCTTCAGGAGAAAAAACACACATTCACATTCACACTCACACTCACTCATGCTCAGTACCTGCAGCTCCTGCGCTCCCAGCCCACAGGTCAGTCTGCAGTGGGATGGCCTCTGGCCTCCTCCAGATGCTGCCTCCTCCTCCAGCCCACACTCTCTCTGGCACTAGAAGACACTCCCTTCCTGGGATTGAATCCCTCAGGTCCTGGCTCCCCAAAGAGAAGAGGAAAGCCTGAGACCCTTAACAAAAGATGGAGGGAAGGAAGAGGGCAGAGGGCTAAGGCTCTGAGCTGCCTGGCTCTGTCCCCAATACCGTCCAGAGCACCAAGAGGAACTCAGGTGGGACCACACTCTGGTGACAGGGACCCACCCAGTGAATCAGCCCAGGCACCTCCTCCCTGGGAAAGGGCCCGATTGCCCAACACTCCCTGAGCTCCTTCCTGGTCCCAGCCCTCAGTAAGCCCAGGCAGCTAGGATCCTGGGAGACCTGGGAGTTGTATCCCCAACATCTGGGAACTTCCTGCCATGAAGACAGATCTGCCCCTTAAAGGGTGATGGCTGTGGATTGAGGTCATTCACCAGCACCCTTACCCAACCCCTTTCCACCAGGGTCATCAGCAGGAGCAGAATGGAGAGAGATCCCAGGAAGCAGCTGGCAGCATCTCATCACTAGAACAGACTCTAGCACTGTAGTCCACACATCCACAGCCCACCCTCAACCTCAAACTGTCTCCCTCCGCAGGAAGCTGTCCACAAACCAAGAATCTCTAGCTCCTCTTCCACTACTGGCTCAAGGCCCTATTATACTCACCATCTAACTACATTCGACAGTCTGCCACTATTTTCTCCTGGGCCCTTGAATCTTCAAAGAAGGAACTCCACCTGATACCTTCCAAGAATGCAATATGATACACATCTCCATGGGGACCTGCGAAACCTCTTACCTCTCAGAGGGTCAGGCAGTCTCCTGAGTCACTGTGGAAATGCCAAATCAAAAGATAGTATGCCAGGGACAGGATGTAGGAAGAATCCTGTTAATGGAAATAAATGGTCTGTTAATGTTTGTGGGCATGACTTCCCAGTCCCTTTTGAAAAGATTTTGGGAAATAGGAAAAAATGCAGTCAGACTTTGTGTCTTCAGTTCTCCCTGTTGACCAAAAATCATTCCCTGAATGCATGCTTAGGCCACAAAAATAGAAGGTTTCATGGCACTAAGAGGACTTATTTTGAGGAATCAAGTCCCACAGTGCTAGGAAGGCTCATTCCTAGGAGTCTCAGGGGAAGGACATGTCTGACAGATTTTTCCTAATACCCAGTTTACATTCAGGCAAGGGGAAAG